GCGCCAAAATAGAAGGAGAAGAAAATCTCCCAAAAATTGTCTAGGGCTTAGAAAAATACGGGACCATTTCACGTTACGCCCAAGGAAAAAAACAGCCTGAATGGTCTAGGGTTTGCAACAGAAAAATTGATTAAACAAAGTGTACAAGGCTCGACATCAAATCTGGATTTTTTTGCGATTTTCTGCTTGAAAAATCTACTAAAAATCATAGAAGCTTCGAACAAAGACAAGAATCATACCAAAAATCTTCCAAAACCAGGGCGGATCAAACCATATATGATTCATGTATTGCCGCTGACACTTGTATGGACTGCTGACATCATTTGGCGATGGTTTGACGTTAGCAGTTCATCTCGTGAATGAGAGTCAGCAAGAAAGGTATTCCCAAGTGCCTTTACCCGCTCTGATACCAAGTTGGAAACTAGTATTGTAAATCTAGGGTTTGTGTGAGAAAGAAAGAGAGAAAGGAGAAGAAGTAGAGGAATGTGCCGAGTGGTGTGCTTTTGTTACTGTTCACACCCTCAAAAGGCACTTTATATTTTGAAACAAGAAATTACAAAGAGATCCTACTTGGGCACCCAAATACAAAAAGAGTACAAAGGTAAGAGGTAAAGATTAAAAAGACCCTTGCCTAAACTTTCTCAACAACTTTAACAAACTCTACAAAAATTGGTTGCCCCTACAACTATCCATTCCAAACCTACACACAAAATTTCTTTCAAAGTTTCTAACCCTAGAACCATTTTCCTCAATTCAAAGCCATTAAACCCTAAGATCCTTCCTAATTTAAACAATCTCTACCTTTAGTATTAAAATACTAAACCCTATTCTATTCTTGCCTCCTAGAGTTACTAGGTTATTCTATCCCTATATCAATTGGTACCACAGTTGCAAGTCCTACATCATTTGGTGGAAAAGCAAGCAATCCTACATCTTTTTGGTATCAAAGCAAGTTGTCCTACATCAACAAGGATTATGAAATGATGACCCCGAATGAACCAAAAATATCATCCTTTTGTTCCTAAAAGCAATGCATGGTAAAGAAGACATGGACTACATGCAACTTTACTTTTCTTTATTCCTTATTTGTTTTATTTGTTTTATTTGTTTTTTTTTCTTGTTTAAACATCATCATCATCCAGGCTTTATCCCAACTATATGGGGTTGGCTACATGAATCCCGTTTCACCAATCCGTTCTATTTAAAGCCATATCCTTTGTTAAATTATAACTTTATAAGTGCTTAAATCATTTCTTACTACTTCTACCCATGTTCGTTTTGGACTACCTTGAGCTCTTCTAGACCCTTCAGTGTGCAACAATCACTTCTTCTAATTTTACCACTTATCGGATGTTCCCAAACCATTTCAATCTACTCTATCTCATTTTATCATCTATTGTAGTTACTCCTAGGTTCCTACAGATAACTTCATTTCTAGTCCTATCCTTTCTAGTTTTTCCACTCATCCATCTTAGCATTTGTGTTGCTCAATACTTTGCTCCATACAACATAGCTGCCCTCACAACTATTTTATAGAACTTTCCTTTGAATCTAAGTATTATTTGCTTATCACATGAAGTTCAAATGTACCCTTCGTTTTTCCCATCCTGCTCTAATTCTTTGGGTGACATCCTCCTCAACCTTTCCCATTCTTATGACTTATTGAACCAGAATACTGGAAATGGTCACATTAAGTTATCTCTCAGTCTCCAATCCTAAGTGTATCTTGATTTACATGCCTATTATTACTAAATTTAAATGTCATATACTCTATTTTAGTCCTACTAATTTTAAAACCTCTTGTTTCTAAGGCATTTGTCCATAAGCTTAATTTTGCATTTAATCCTTCATTAGTTTCATCAATTAAAACAATGTCATCCACAAACATCAAACTTCCTCCTAAATATGTATAGTCAATTCAGCTAGGGTAAGTGAAAATAGATAAGGGCCTAAGTGCTGAACCTTGGTGAAGACCCATAGTAACGATAAAATTTGTAGTCTCCTACTGGTATTCTAACATTGATTGTTGCTCCCTCATACATATCCATAATTAGGTCTATATACCTATTTGGAATCCCTTTCTTTTCCAAGACCCACCGCATTATCTCTCTAGGAACTCTATTATATAGATCAATGAACAGCATATGAAGATCTTCTTTCTTTTAACTTTTCTATCAATTGTCTCAAAGAAATATAGCTTCCACGGTTGATTTCCTTGGCATAAAGCCAAATTGATTCTTTGATACACTTGTTTCAAGTCGTATGTTTTGCTTAATTATTCTCTCCTAAAGTTTCAGTGTGGTCCACAAGTTTAACCCCGTGATAGTTATTAGAACTTTGTCTATCACCTTTGTTCTTAAATATAGGCATAACACTATTGTTTCTCCAATCATTAGACATCATTAGCTTGGTCATCCATAACAAGCCTACCTCTCCCATACATTTCATACTTCTATTGGTATTCCATCAGGTCCTAACACCATCCCATCATCTCACTTGGTGCTTCTTTTACTTAAGTAGGTCTAACTCTACAAAGGTACATATTATTTTTAACAGTACTGGTATTACTAGATTTTCCTCCATTAGCACTCTCTCCCTATTGTTCGTTTAATAATTTTTCAAAATGGTTTTCCATCTTTGTTTGATTTCCTTACCTTTTACCAAGATTCTTTGATCATCTTTAATGGACCTAACATGGTTTAAATCTCTACCTTTCCTTTCTCTCATCTTTGCTAGTTTGTACATTCATTTTTCTCCCTCTTTAGTGCCCAATTTATGGTAAATCTCATCATAAGCCTTACTTTTAACTTTATTCACGTTCTTTTTAACTTCCTTTCTTATGGTTTTATAATTTTTCCAATACTCCACATTTCTAGTTTTTTTCCTTTTTTATACCAGCTCGTTTTAATCTAATTATATTTTGAACTTCTTCATTCCACCACCAAGATTTTTTAGTACTTTGCCTCTTCCCTTTTATACTCCTAAGACATCCTCTGTTACTTTCTTTATATTACCTGCCATTTCAAGCCAAATATCATTAATCTTTCCATCTAAATTCCAATTCCCTTCTATTATCAATATATTTCTAAATTTAGCTAGCTTTTATCATTTCAGGTTTTCCCACTTAATTCTTGGATGCCTATTTTCTTCCCTATTTCTCTTCTATTTCCTAATGCGCGCATGTACCACCACTAGTCTATGTTATGTTGCTTTGCTTTCTGTAGGAATAACTTTGCAATCTTTACACGCCATTCAATTTGTTCTTCTTGTAAAGAAAAAATCTATTTTGATTTATGTTTTCCCACTTTTAAATGCTATTAAGTATTCATCATTCTTTTTGGAAACTTACCTCAACCAAAAACACGAGCTTTCTGTTTCTCAAAGTACACATGATAGCATTTCGTACATGACAGGGTGAAAAATTCACCCTTGGGTCATGACACCTTTTCCCAAAAGTAATATGTTGAGATCTAGTCTTAAAATCAATGTTGTAATGCGGACCATATAGAACCAGAAAGCTTATTGGGTCACAAATCGAATGGTTTGATTGTGAGTCATGTAAAATTCCAACAAAGATAATTTCATGAAAACCCCAAGTTTCAAATATCATCTTTTACGTGAAAAAGAAACATAGGACAAGCTTCCACCACTGTAATAGAGATGTGAAATAAGATTGATAAGGATGTAGTTATAAAAAAGAAAAGCTTGTTTGTTGTTACATAGCAGATCAGAAGTAAAAAAAAAAAATCTCATTAAGAATTCTCTTTTTATTTTATATTTTATTTTTGTGGATTAAGATTTAATGCTTCATCCATGTTTCAGCTTGCAAGAAAGTGGTTAGTATTTAGTTTTCCCTTGTTTAAAGAAAAATAGAAAAACAATGTGGTTTTGGCTTTAATGCCTTTTCATGAATGGAACTTTATTAAATTTCAGAAGCTTTGTGGAAAGATAAATTAGTTTATTTTGTATTAATCATTGTTTTAAAAACCAGATCAAACCGAATGGTCAGACCGGTTGACCAAGGAACCAGTCATAGGTTTGGGTCCGGTTTTGGACTCCAAAACCATCTGATCCAGGTTTGGACCAGACAGTTGGACCATTTGACCTGGGAACCAGTAGCCAAAATGGTTCCGTTTCTGGTCCGGTTTTCAAAACCATGGTATTAACTAGTATATGCAGACTAAAGTTTATTCAAGAATGCTCTTCTATACCATATTCTATTATAAATGAAACTTCGATTTTCTCTAATTTTGACCTTTGGAAAGTTTATACATATATTCCAAAAATACAGCAAAATTTCAGTATATTCTTTTTTTGTCTAAAATTCTCCCACCCAAGTTTCTAGAGTTATTGTGGTTGTATCAATCTCCAAAAAAAACAAAACTTGAATATGACAATAACAACTTGGTGATAAGACCTGTTTTCCTGTTACCTAGCAAAGGATGAAACCTAGGTCGTAATTCTATATAGATGAATGGTTGTTAAGACGATGCCATTATAATTGTAGAGATAATGGGCCGAATGGGCCTTAGCTTCTTTGTTTTTCTTACGTTATGTCTATGACTTGTATTAGTAGGTAGTGGGCCTAAGTTATGGGCTTATTTTCTCTTTTTTTTTATTGTTTTTTATTGTTGTCTTTAGTGATGGGCACCCTACCAAGGGGCACTCATGTAATCATCCTTATATTTTACAACAAAAGAATAAAAGAGATCATTGGGGGCTGAAGAGAGGTTTTGAACTACTCTCTCTTCTTCCTCCATCACTTCTCTCTCTTCATCTCCTTCCTTTCTCCTGTTTCTTTCTTTTAATTCAAATTATTGCAGGTGTGATTTACAACTATAACGTATTATAACCACAATAAATTATAAGTGACAAGAAATTTTGCCTCGTAAGCATGGTGCAAATTAGGCATTTACAAGCAGAAAAGCATAAGCTTACTTACAAAATAACTAAAAAAACTGAAAGGAAAAATGCAATAAAAAATGTATGAGTTAACTTACCTTTTAATTAATGGCCTTAAGAAAGGCACAACCTTCTGGATCGCTTCAATGTTTGCTAGGGATTGGACAAATGCAATAGGAATCATAAAGAAGAATGTAAGGAGAAAAAGCATAACAGCCATAATCAATCTTCGGATAATCCGTTGAAAATATGGTATTAAAAGATTATCCCAATAGACATCGCGAGGCTCAGGAGCCCACTCTGTCAACCAAATAATTGCATTACTTGATTGTTGAGTTTGAGCACAAACAGCTGCCCCCCATCGTGTTTTGAATGAAACAAATGCTGCTGGAATTATAGACTTAGGGTCACTTATAACCCTTTTCCTTTCTGCAGCTTCCTGGAAAAAGGATTATTTAGTTATGCAGAAAGATGGACAAAGAAAGAAAATATTCTAATAGCAGAAGAACGCATATTTGAAACAGTCTTTTGGATAGTCAATCAAAAAGAATTTTTAGGAACAGTACTAAAATTAATAAACCGATCAACAAATGGATGTCTAAAATATCTACTATGTCTTTTTTTCAGATAAGTCAATATTTATTATCAGAAAAGAAATTTGTATTAATATATTTAGAAAATTCAGAGAAGAATGTTAATAGGCCATCCCACCAGCCCATAGTACATCAAATTACAACTATGCCCAAATTTTATTAACCAATAACTAAAATCTTTACAAGCATCTCTCTGAGAGGCACAAGATGCTACCTCTCCCAAGTAAATTACATATTACGTTTCAGCCCAGTTCAAACAATTTCTATTCACCCCTTGCTTAGCTAAAACATCCGCAATTCCATTAGCTGATCTCCTCAAACCAAGCTCGTGGGGATTGCTTTATGCCATAAAAGGATTTCTTTAACTTGCACACCTTGCCCTGCATTTCCTTACCAAACATGCCTGGAGGAAGTAGTTGCAGAAACTAGGGTTTCAAGAGAGAGAGAGAAAGAAGAGAAGAGAAGAAGAGGAAGAAGGAGAGGAAGAAGAGAGTAATGTGTCAAGAGGTGTGTGTTGTTCACTATTCACACCCTCAAAAGTTTACTTTATAATTTGAAAAATAATAATTACAAGAAGGCTTCTATGTGGGAGCCCAAATACTAAGAGAATATAAGAAAGGAGAAAAAGACCAAAAACACCCATGTCTAACCATTCTCAACACTCCCCCTCAAGCTGAGCAAATATGTCAAACATTCCCAGCTTGGCAAGGTTCTTAGCAAACTTTAGATGGTCAACACCTTTAGTGAGGCAATCAGCTAGTTGGTCTTCTGACCTTACAAAAGGAAGGCAAATCTCTCCCAAGGTTTAAGATGTCGATGTCGATTGAAATGTCGCTCACCCAAATAAAGAACATATGTCGAAATATCGGAAATGTCGAATGGAAATACTGTAAAAAGTAAAGACATTGGGGAAATATTGTGAGATATATGAAATTATGCATTAATATTTTGTGAAATGACAAAAGAAACATAATTACACCTTTCTAGATTATTATCATATTGCAAACCATCATAGAAAGCCAAGAAACTAATATTAAGAATAAAGTGATGAACAACGAAGTTGTCCTATAGATTTCAACCATCATAGAAAGCCAAACCTGAAGTTGCTTTCCATGCTTCATATACTGGACTCCTCAATAGTTTCTTCGTCCTTTGAACTCTCTTCACCAAGACTAATCCAACCTGAATAAAAAACTTCATCTTTTTCTTTATCTCGAACATACCTCAGGTTTGGCTTCTTTGGGCTGGTGCAATAAGAAACCAGCCTTCACTTCCAAACCCAAACTTCTTTCCATTTGGCTGATTTCTATGAACTAGCCGTCAAGGCTTCATCTTGGACGGCCCTGCTCCTGTTGTAAACCATATGGGCCAAGCCCATTACCAACATCATTTAAGGTGTCATCCCCCTCACTATGTTTGGTTCCATGGGCATTTATTGGAAAAATGCCACCACATCAGCACCACATAGGTGTTGGCACATATTGTGCATGAAACCACTGTTTGGTTTCAACGCTTATCAAATAAACAATGAAAAACAGAAATGCTTTGGTTTATGTGCATTAGGAATTGGGGGAAACATCAAATTCTTGTTTCCCCCTGTGAAAACCCTAGTTGATTCTAGGTCAAAGTAGAGAAGAAGAAAGAAGAAAGAAAAGAGAAAGAAGAAGGAGAGAAGAAGAGTGTTCGGCCATACTAGAAGAGAGAATGTGTAAAAATCACTCTCCTAGCCGACCCACTTGAATTTTATTCATAAAACTTAGAGTTACAAGAAAGACAATTTTGTCCCTCATAGAAGATGCGACACATAACTTAAACTCAGATACAATAGACCTTTCACTTTCAAGAAGATACACCAGAATGACCAAAATACCC